GATTTCATCCCAATATTTAATGATTATTAATAATAATGTGCATTCCAATATCCAATATCTAATAGATATTACACAACACAATAACCAATAATAGTAGTCAAAACTATACTTTATTCTCCACCTTTAGATGTATCTGGTCAGATTGTAGTGCGGTTCGAAAATATGATGAATATTCGATACTATAAGAAACAACATTTTTTTATTTGAAAATAGGATGCGGGTCAATCGGGTGACTCGGAATCCACCCACCACCCACCCACAAAGTGCGGGTGGGAGATTTATCAATCTGCAATCCACCCGCATCAATTATCCACTGCTTTTGGGTCGGGTTATTTGTGGGTGAATCGATATCAATCCGCGGATTAACCACCCACATGCCCACCCCTATCTCCAAGTACCAAGCTCAGTAGTCAGTACGACAATTTCCATATTAAATTTCTCTTACTCCGCGCAAGTTGCAGTAAACATTATTTTCTCAGAGAGTTATCCCAATTCCCAAGAGAAGCAGTATAGATAAAAAATAATATATAAAATCTTTTGAAGATTTAGAGACTATAAAGAATTTAGGTCAGAAATCAAAGGAGAGAGTAGCAAATGATTGGGAAATGAAAAGGAAAAGGTAGCAGTAATCTCGCAGAAGAGGGTGCACAGGTCAAAACAGAGAACAACCCGAGAGGTAAGTTGGGCCCAGATTTAACTAACGGGCTTCGAAGGGTTAGAACTCAACTGCCGAAAGTCTTAACACAAGCAGGAGCCCAATTAGAAGCTCTGATCTGTTCAACGAAGAACTGGAAACAGAGTTCTTGACAGATTCAGGGAAGAACACATCAGAAGGTAAGAGCAGCAGAAAATGTAAAGAACACAGGTGTTTTTGTCGTGGTTTGCCCAAATGCAATGGTGTACTTCCACGTCCCAGAATACAGTCTGGGAGACCCTTGTTTGATTTTTCTTTGAAGAAAGTAAAGCAAGACTCTAAGTACAAAAGATGCAGAAAACGAATAAATAAAGAGAAACAGAAACCCATATCACAAACAGATCTGCCTCGGCCTTGACGAAGCTTGACCCTTTGCCTCAAATTCGTCAACCCTCTGTATTTCCTAAGCTAGGCCCTCTACCACTCTAGCTTATACAAAGTGCCAATGAAGACAGGAGCAGCCGAATATATATCCCCATGCCAATTAGCCGTTAGAGGCAATTGGGGAAAAGATTTGAATCGCGGACCGAACCTTTCTTAACAGATTGCTGAGATTAAGCTCGGATCAAGGAAGAAATCTTCGACTTGATTTCCCTTGATTACTCCAACAATCTCCCCCTAAGTCGAACATTGCAGTTGCAGTTGACCTGCAAAAAAAAAAAAAACTAGATACCTTCTCTACACAGGATCAAGCAGCAGTAAGATAAGTCATTCAAAGAACTTCTTAAGGAGTGCATAAACAACCTAGAACATCCAGAAACAAGTCACAACTCCCCCTGAGCAAAATACAGACCAGTCTAACGGAAAAACAAAACTCCCCCTGTGTTCAGGAAAAACATCAACAACCCAATCCTCAGAACATTACCTTAAGACTCAGTAATGTCATCCAAGGAATTTGGAAAATGCTGAGATGGTTCCTCAAAATCAGAGTCCGAAGGAAAAGCAGCAGAAGAAATAGAGTCTGATTCTCGGAGGAATTGAAGAGCTTCTGCATAGTCAGAATCCGACTCAGAATCTGTAGCATACAACGCTTGGAGATCAGCTGCAAAAGGTGGAAGAGGAGCTTCTTCAGGTTCTGCATCCTCGATGTCATCCTCGTCATCACTGCTGATCTAGTGAATGAAGGGATCATTCTCCCCCTCAACTGCAATCCCAATCTCATCGAGGCGATTCAGTGAGATAACCGGATAAATCCAGCGGTAGTGCTAGCAGGAGGCGAGTAATCCATGGTCCAAACGGCAGAGGAGCATGAAAGTTTTGGTCGATAAAAGGAAGGAGAGCACCAAACAGCAGATGAGAAAAGTCGAGCAGGACAGCAACAACAACATGAGCAAGGATCCATAAGTTTAGGGGTAAGACTCGATCTAAGAAGATAAAACGAGGAAGGATCACCCTAGTAAGGAGATAATGGAAAGTCTGTAAAGAAGGAAGCAGAAGACCCGAGGAGAAGGTGAGATCTTGGTCAGGGTCATGACCGGTAAGATGAACAGCTTCGGTGATGATGTCAAAATTGAACAGAGGAAGTTCAGCAGGATGAGCAAGAGCTTCCCCAAAAGCAGGGATACTGAGCAGACGACGCAAGTCAAGGATGGGGATAGTAATCAGATGCCCATGAACAAGAGTAGACAAAGTACGAGATTGAAGGCAAATTAGCGAAGATTGGAGAAGAACGATCTTACAATCTCAGGACAGATAAGAGTAGAGGACGCTGCAGAAGTCAACATGAACTCCCACCCTATATTATGTATAAAGGGTAGGACATCTAGTCCAAGAGGAATGAACTCAGAAAAATGCACAAGGGTGGAAGGGTTTATAGGACGGTTAGCAAAAGACTGGATATGACGATGGTAATTGGCAAGGAGGGGTTCCTGGAACATGGTTCCAGTGTAGGTCAAGGTGAAAGCAAAGACCATGGTTGAGTCTGGAAAGAAAACTATACGAACATTCACACAATGACGAAACAAGCAGACTAACACAGAGACTAAATAGCTCCCTGCTTCTTACAAGACCAAGACACAAGAGAGGTTCCTACAAACTGACAACTGCCCGAGGTGCTTCTACGATCAGTCAAACTCCCAACAAAGTCTGAGTCATTGTATCCTACTAAATCAAACAGATCAATTTTAGAATACCACAGACCAACATCCATTGATCCTTTTAGATATCTAAAAATCCTCTTAACTGCTGATAAGTGACTTTCCTTGGGAGCATACTGGAATCGAGTGCACAGACACACACTGTGTTATATGTCAGGGCGATTGGCAGTCAGATATAGTAACGAGCCTATCATTTCTCTATATTTAGACTCATCAACTGATAGAAACCTATTTCTAGGGTCCTATCGGTTGGGTTGGGAAATTGGTAATTGATAGAGATTTAGGGATTTAGAAGAGAATTAGGGATTGGGAACAGAATTGGGGAAGAACGGACAAGAATGGCCAGTGGCCTAGGTAGAGGTAAAGACGAGATTAAGAAAAGAAGATTAGGGCTTTTTGGGAGGGATAAATTTCTTTTTAATTTCTGCTTAATTGAACAAGAAACCCCAAGTACATATTTATAGATAAAAACTAGGAAAACCTAATAGACTATCCTAATATGACTAAAAAACTACTAATCCTATATAATAAAATAATAATAATAACTATGATAATGATGATAGAACCCAAAAATTAGGTTTCTATCATCCCCTCCCTCTTGAGACCAACCTTGCCCTCAAGGTTGATCGACTCGACCCACTTTCCACGTCCTCCGTGCAAACCGCACCTTCACTCCTCCATTTTTTTTGCTTTCTTTTCTTTCAATTACGCTCTAACTCTTCTCTCACGGAACTTCTAACACAAGCAGCTCCAATTGGGTTTCCATCTTTCGTCCAGCCCAACAAACCTGACCCAGCTTGGGTCCATTTCATGCTCGTCAACTCTTCCAAAGTCCTACTTCTACCGAGCCCAAGTTCCAAATTGATGGAGTGCATCTCCCCAATAGCTTCATGCCACCCCTTCCTTCCCATTCCATTCACCACAAGGCAACTGTTCAGAGACAAGAGATTTTTACAAACTCCCCCTTTCACATCCTCCACCCTAAACGACAAGTCTTCACTTGTCCCACTTGCAACTTCCAACCACACGTCTCCTTTTTCCTTTCATACAACTGGTGCGGTGGCAGGCACTCCATTACCCACGACATAACCCACTGACGGCCCAAGTTTCACTTGCAGCAGCCCACTCCAAACACGAACGGCCCATTGCTGCATCCTCAGACTGCCCAAGAAACATGATGGTTCGAGTGGAAGAAGAAAGAGGCTGCCATCTTCCTCCGTTGCTGGTGGCCTCCTCTTCATCTCAGTCCCAGTCTCCGGTATTCCCTACCTTCGATTTCCCAGCAAGGAGTTTGCTTCTTCCCCCAGCGAGGGCTTCTTCCCCTCGTTCTCTAGTGGCTCCTTCTTTGCCTCTCCTCTCGGCGACTCCTTCATCTTTTCATCTGTTAGCGAACGACGATTCAGTCCACAAGAAGTCGACTCCGGCAGAACCTTCTTCCTCGTTTCTTCCTGCTTCGATTCCTTTGTCAGTGAGCTCTTCCCCGGCGGCTCCTTGGTCGTCATGTGGTGAGGAGACCAGACCACTCCCGAGCTCAACATTGGCTGCACCGCCTTTTCGTTCGTCGACGAGAAAACAACGGTAAGCGATCGCGACTTAGTTTTTTTTATTCGCAACTCGAGCCCCAATTTGCGCCGCCATTTGACGCCGATGCTGCTTTCCTCCTTCACCTCCTCACCAGTCGAGGGCGCAGCCAACGCTGCCAACAATCGCTCGCCCTTCACCGTGGCTTCGAACTCTGGCTCCGCCTCCCTGGCCTTCATTGTCACATCTGAAACTGCCATCGACCGGAGTGGCTCTTCTCCCTTCACAACCGCCGACCAGATTACCTTGCCGGATTCTTGAACAACAAGAGAGGTGGTGATGCCGCCACCCCTTTCCTTCGATGGCGGACTCGATGGGGCCGCCCATCTCCACGCCTCTTGCGCGATCTGCAACTCCGACTGCTTCTTTCGTGGTGTTGAATAGGCCAGCAGACGACAAGGAGGCTGACCCGCTTCTTCTACCTTGCGTCGATTGGTGCGAACGTGGATCTTCGTCCACTTTGAGCGGATTCTCGGGTCCCTAGGGGTCTGAGCCTCAATAGTCGACGGGGTTAGTGTTGCTTTGCTGTACCCGGAGGCTTTCCCGACGCGTTGCTCATCGATTGCGATGACTGGGAGCTTGACGAATGTCTCCATCTCTAGGTTTGTGACAGGTGACTTTGAGAACGGTTATGTGGACAAGGCAGTGGTGATGTGTACCCTCTCGTCCACCTGTTCTTCTTCGTCCACGGCGGACGTCGCCGCCTCTGCCATCGCCGCGCCCAGGGTCGCCGCCTCGTTATCCGCCTTGTCGTCTGGCGCCGTCACCGCGGCGGCCTCGCTCAGCCCCGCCAACTGCCTCCGCCCTGCCTCGCCCTTGGCGGTACTCACCGCCATCGCCACCATCTCGCCCTCGGTCGCCGCCCTCTCCCGCACTTTCGGTTCGTAGCGGTCAAGAGACTGCTGCAACCGTTGGCTTAGATGAATCCACTCTGAATCGAAGAACTTGGATGGGTTTATTCTGGCTCTGATACCAGATGATAGAAACATATTTCTAGGGTCCTATCGGTTGGGTTAGGAAATTGGGAATTGATAGAGATTTAGGGATTTAGAAGAGAATTAGGGATTAGGAGCATAATTGGGGAAGAATAGACAAGAATGGCCAGCGGCCTAGGTAGAGGTGAAGACGAGATTGAGAGGAGAAGATTAGGGTTTTTTGGGAGTGATAACTTTCTTATTAATTTATGCTTAATCGAACAAGAAACCCCAAGTACATATTTATAGATAAAAACTAGGAAAACCTAATAGACTTTCCTGATATGACTAAAAAACTACTAATCCTATCTAATAAAATCATAATAATAATAACTATGATAATGATGATAGAACCCAAAAATTAGGTTTCTATCATCAACTGACACACCAGTCTCATCTTTATCAAGCTTAAGGTTGACTGCCATAAGAGTGGGACTCGAGTTTAACCCGGTCAATCGAAACTTAGTGAGCATAGTGGAAATATATTTGGATTGACTAATAAATGTGCTATTGTTGAGATGTTTGATCTGAAGTCCGAGGAGAATTGAAGCTCCCCCATCGTACTCATTTCAAAATCAGCTTTCATAGCATCACAAAACTCAGAACACATGTCTTTGCAGGTAGCATCAAAAATGATATCATCTACGTAAATTTGAACAAGAAGAATATCCTCAGACTTTCGTTTTATGAAAAGAATTTGTCAATCGACCCTTGAACAAACCCATGTTCACACAAAAATGATGTAAGCCTGTCATAGCAAGCCCGTGGGGCTTGTTTGAGGCCATATAGAGCCTTTTTAAGCTTATACACATGGTTTGGGAACTGTGGGTCAATGAATCCAGGAGGTTGTGAAACATAAACTTCCTCTTGGATAACACCATTTAGAAAAGCACTTTTAACGTCCATTTAATATAGAGGAAAACCCATATAACAAGCCTACACAGTAACCAAATTGATTTTATTCTAGCAACAGGGGCAAAGGTTTCATCGTAGTCAACCCCTTCCTCCTGTGAGTATCCTTGAGCCACTAATCTGGCTTTGTTTCGGATAATAATACCAATTTCATTGGACTTGTTTCTAAAAATCCATTTTTTACCAATAACAGAGACATTTAAAGGGCGTGATACAAGATCCCACACATGTAGTAATTCAAACTGAACCAATTCTTCAATAATAGCAAGAGACCATTCATCGTCTTCAAGAGCCTCTTTAGAGTTTTTAGGTTCAACTTGAGACACGTAAAAGTATTGGCCAGGGATATACTTACCTCTTGTTCGAAGACCATCATTAACATAAGCAAAGACAAGTTCCACAAGATGGCGTTTTTTGGATATGTGGTGGTGTTGAGTTGGTTGTTGCTTGCAGTTCTGTTTATATCTCAGAGACATTTTCATCTGGACTTGATCTTGGAGATTTTTCTTTGCTGGGTTCAGCATCTGAATCATTCGTTGTTTGGATCATTTCCACCAAATCATAGTCCTGAGTATCCTGCGGAGCATTCTCAAGATGGGGATTAGATTCATTGAAAATGACATGAACAGATTCCTCTACCTTCTGAGATCTTTTATTATAAACACGAAAGGCTTGACCCTTCACAGAGTATCCTTAAAAGACAGCTTTGTGTGATTTAGCATCAAATTTTCCCAATTTATCCTTAGTGTTTAGCACATGACAGGGACATCCAAAGGGATGGAAGTAAGATAGGTTAGGAGTCTTGTTCTTGAATATCTCATAGGGAGTTTTATTAAAACGTTTTCTAATTAAAACACGATTAATAACATGACACGCTGTACTGATTGCCTCTGCCCAGAAATACTTTGGAAGATAGTATTTGAGAAGCATTGTCCGAGCACACTCAATGAGAGTTCGGTTTTTTCTCTCTACAACTCCATTCTGCTGGGGTGTACGAGGGGCGGAAAAGGTATGATTGATAACTAGATCAGTACAGTTGGTTTCAAACTCTTCAGACACAAATTCTCCGCCATTATCATTTTTAATGGTTTTTATTTTATTAGAGAAGAGGGACACAAAAGCCTTAAATTTTGCAAAGTGTCATCTTTATGGGTCAAAAAGAATACCCAAGAATATCGATAAAAATCATCAACAAGAACAAACACATAGTTCTTTCCCCCTAAGCTAGTGACATTGCATGGACCAAATAGATCCATGTGAATCAACTCAAACATTACATGAGTTGTAATGTCAGCTTTCGGTTTGAAAGATTTTCTAGAATGCTTCCCACTAACACATGTTTCACAGAAAAAATCAGGTTTGTCTTTCAAACTAGGAACTCCTCGAACATGATTGGATTTGGACAGGCTGACCAGTTTTGGCAGGCTTATATGTCCCATTTTTCGATGCCAGAGGAGTTCTTGTTGGAAAGAGGAAATAAAACATAACTCATTAAATGCATTTAGGTTGCTCAGATCAACAACATACATGTTATTAGATCTTTCACCAACAAACATGATCTTGTTGTCTTGGATTCTTCTGACAACGCATTGGTCAGTTTCAAACACAACATGAAAACCATTGATGCATAGCTGACTGATGGACAGGAGGTTGTGTTTCAAACCTTCAACCAACAAAACATTTTTGAAAGTAGGAAAAGGTTTTTCTCCTATAGTTCCAGACCCTACAACCTTACCACATCCATTGTCTCCAAACCATACCTTTCCTCCATTAACGGAAGTTAAAGGGGAAAACAAAAATTTCTTACCAGACTTGTGGTGAGAACACCCACTGTCGATGTACCACTTGTGATCATTATTTATGACATCAGGTTCCTTCTTATCTTCTTCAGACTCTTCCTTGGCCATGAAAGCTTCATCATCTGACTCTAGTTCTTCCTGATCTGAGTCATAGTCACTCCAGCTGGCTTTCATAGCTTTCTCTTTTGCTTTCAGAGTTAGGGGACAATGTGCTATGATGTGTCCGAATTTACCACACTTGTAGCATGCTTGTGGCTCCTTTTCCTGCTGACCTGTCTCAAATTTTCTGGTCTGTTGGGGTAGCAGCCTAGCTTGGGAAAAGTTTTTAGATCGATCATAACCTCCATTCCTAGACTCATCTAGGCGTTGTTTTTGCTCATTTTTAAACTTTAGCATTCTATGAAACCGTTTACTAACCAGGGAAAATTCTTTGTCAAAATCACTTTCAACATCGCTATCTTGATCATAATTGGTTGTCTTAGTTCTAAATGACAGGTTTCTGCTACGTTTTTCATCTTCTTGACCAACTTGCTTTAAGACATGTTCATGACTTAATAAGGAACCAATCAACTCATTAGTATGTAGAGTAGTCAGATTTTTCACTTCCTCGATGGCAGTCCGCTTGGGGAGCCATTCCTTAGGCAAAGCTCTAAGAATTTTTCTGTTGAGATCCTTCGTTAAGTACGTTTTTCTTAGACCCTTAAGCTTGTTTATTATAACAGTAAACCTGGTATACATCTCATGAATCCATTCATTCTTACTCATGGTAAAAGCTTCATAATCATGAACTAGGAGATCGATACGAGACTCTTTAATGTTAGAAGTACCTTCATAAGTGCTTTCCAAGGCTGACCAGATCTCTCTGGTAGTGACGTAGTTTTCCACCTGATCGGCCTCGTCTGGATTCATGGCAGATTGTAGCACGTGCATAGCTCGTTGATTCAATTAAGCGCTCTTCTTCTGCGGGGCTGACCACATATGTTGCTCCTCGTCATTCATTTCGATTGGACCATTCTGCACAACCAACCAAAGCTCTTCGTAAACTCTCCACATAAACTGTTTCATCCTCTTCTTCCACGCGGTGTAATTTGAACCATTGAAAATTGGAGGATGATTGATGGTAGCGTGACCAAAAGAGCTAGAAGCCATTGGATCGTAATCCTTGGCAGTAGCTAGCTTCGTCAAGGACCAGCTCTGATACCAATTGAAGATTCAGAGACTAGAAAGAATTTAGGTCAGAAATCAGAGGAGAGAGTAGCAGACGATTGGGAAATGAAAAGGGAAAGGTAGCAGTAATCTCGCAGAAGAGGGTGCACAGGTCAAAACAGAGAATAGGTCGAGAGGTAAGTTGGGCCCAGATTCCACTGACGGGCTTCGAAGGGTTAGAGCCGAACTGCCGAAAGTCTTAACACAAGCAGGAGCCCAATCATAACCTCTGATCTGTTCAACGAAGAACTTGAAACAAAGTTCTTGACAGAAACAAGGAAGAACACAACAGAAGGTAAGAGCAGCATAAAATGTAAAGAACGCAGGACGTTTTTAACTTGGTTCGCCCAAAGTGCAATGGTGTACTTCCACGTCCCATAATACAGTCTGGGAGACCCTTGTTTAATTTTTGTTTGAAGAAAGTAAAGCAAGACTCTAAGTACAAAAGATGCAGAAAATGAATAAAAAAAAGAGAAATATAAACCTAGATCACAAACAGATCTGCCTCAGCCTTGACGAAGCTTGACACTTTGCCTCAACCTTCGTCAACCCTCTGTATTTCCTAAGCTAGGCCCTCTACCACTCTAGCTTATACAAAGTGCCAATGAAGACAGGAGCAACCGAATATATATCCCCATGCCAATTAGCCGTTAGAGGCAATTGGGAAAAAGATTTGAATCGCAGACTGAACCTTCCTTAACAGATTGTTGAGATTAAGCTCGGATCAAGGATGCAATCTTCGACTTGATTTCCCTTGATTACTCCAACATCTTTGCATATCCGGTTATAAGATGGACAACTCTGTTATACCTGCGAGGCACAAAATGAAATGAGACATTATGAAAAAGAATATCTTACCATATGATTCTCTTTGCATGATAGCCTCATCATAAATCTTTCATGTTGATCATTCGAATAAGTTACAATAAACTTCAAATGTTGTATTTTTATGAGAATTAAACCATCAATTAAGCGCTAACAGAAGGGGCGGTTATTATAGACACCGTATTTATAAATAATGGACGTTGTCTTTTTAGATTTTTTCCTTGTTCAGAATTCGTCAACCACAGTATCAATAAGGTCGGTCTGTTTTTTAGA